TTTTCGATACTAAATAATAAAACAATAATAATATAATGTATAATCGTCAAATAAAATATTTTTAAATTTATTATTGTGAAAATACAATTTTTTATTTTAAATATTTCATTTTTTTTGCAATTTAATTAAATTTAAAAATATATATATATATATATGTATATATAATTTATATATATATAATAAATTTTTAAGCTATAGTTAAATTTTTACTAATCGAAGTTAATAAAAAAATTCATTCTGATTCCGTAATTAATATTTAAAAATATTAGGTAAAAAAGAATTAAATATTTTATATATGAAAATTGAACTGTTCTATCGATGCAGATTATATAAATACGGCAGTGTTGAATTGAATTGTAGAATTAAAGATAAGTAATGGCCATATGGTAGAAAAACTCCTGTACTTAAAAATTTTTATCAAACAAAATTTTTTATCTTTAATCTATAAAATATTAGTTAAAGTTAAAGTTAAATATCTATTCTAATTTATTTTTCATAAATATTTACGTATTTTCCTATTTATTCTTTATAAATATCAATGATGTATAAAGATTTTTTGTTAAGTAAAGAATTTTTCATAAAAATGCAAATAAAATATAATAATTCTTTATTTATATTCTTTATTTATAAATAAATTGGTATTTTTTATATTTTCAAATATATTATGAAAAATAATAATTTAAAATATGCAATATAAAAATAAAAAATTGTTAGTTATAGAGATCTTTTAAAACTCTTTGAAATTTAAATATTTCGCATTTTTGAATTTTCATTTTTTAATATTTTTGCAATTTAAAATTCGAAACTGAAATTTATTTTTATTTAAGTAATATAATAATAATTAATAATAGTAATAATATAATTATCAAATTAAATTTGTATTTAGATTTTCTATTTATTATAATTAGTTTTATATCGAAAAAAAATAAAATATAAAAATTTAAATGTTTATAAATTAGAAAAATTGTTAATCATAATTCAAAATTTACAAGAATTTCAATTTTCTCTTAATGAAGTAAATTAATAAATTTTTCTAAGTTCCTTAGAAAAAAAAGAAAGGGAAAAAAATAAACATTCAAGATTTTGAGAGCTTAAAGTTTTGAGACTTTCAAGAATTATAAGATTTTATAAAGTTTCGATTTTCAATTTTTTTAAATTTAATTAAAATAATTTTTTTTTTCGTCAATTTTTTTTTTTGAAAAGGAAAGAAAGAAAATTTGAGTAAAAAAAAATATTTAAAAATTAAAGAAAAAGAAAGAAAGAGAAAGAAATAAAAAAATTTTTGAAATTATTTTTTCGATATATAAAAAAATAATCATTTTCAGAATTTTAAAGATTTTCATAAAGATATAATTGAAGTAGGAAATATAAATTATATTGATTTACAAAATTTTTTTATTTTTTATTATGTAATTTTAATTGTATTTTTCATATTGAATTTAAATATGCAATCTGTGTGTTGTTTTCACGCTTTAATGACATATATATTTTAATATCTAATAATTTAACATAATTTTAAAGTAGATATATTTAAAAAAAAAATAATACAAGAAGTAATTATTTTGTATTATTTTAATTTTTTTTCTAATTGAATATTTATAGAATATATAATATGTCAAGATCGGAAATTTTTTTCTTTAAGAAACAAGAATATTCAGCTTTTATTAAGTTAATTTAAAATATTTTTATTTATTTTGTTTATATGTTTTAGATGAGAATTTATTATTTTTGATATATTGCAATTAAATTAATTAAAAATTATGAAAATAAAAAGTGAAACATTTTTTATTTATTTCTATTAGAAATTGTGATATGAATAATTTAATTAAATTCTACCATTCTCAAAAACATTCTCTATTCTTCTCTTTTCTTTGTATTATATTACATGTAACTATTTTAAAATATATTATAAATATAATATATATTGTATATGTATATTGTATTTGTATATATATATTGTAAATATATATTATAAAATGATATAACCAAATCATATAGTCGAGATGTGTTATAGATAAGTAATTTATGTATCTCAAATTTTATTAGAATTTATTTTTTTTGGAGAAAAAATTGTTAAGAGAAAATATAAGTGATATATGTATAAAAATTTGTTTTTCTATGACTTTATTTTTTTATAACTATATAACGAAAATATAAATATACTTTTTTATTTTAAATAGATTCTCATTGTTTTATATATATATTGATTATTTGAATTAATCATCATTTTGTGTAAAAATGTTTTAAATATTTAAAATGTAAAAAAAAGAAAGAAAATTCTGAATATTTCGCTTTCATATAATAACCTTCACATAATACTTTAAAAATCGTTTTTTATTATTTCTTTATTTTTTTTTATGATATAATTAATATAGTTATTATTTATGTTTGATAATTTTTATTTATTCTTTCAAATCTTTTGAAAGAATTAATAAATATAAATAGTTTTTATTTAAGATAATTTTATAAAAAAAAATAAAAAAAAATTAAATCCAAAAATTAAACATTTCATTATTATACATTTTTCAGAATATTAGTTATTATGATGTCTATATTGATATGTAATGCATCATTTTATTGAAACTTAGTTATATTTGATGGAAAGGAGACATCAACTTTAGAAAATGTTTCATCATGTAATATATTATTTACGAAGAAATATCAATCAATAATATTTAATAAAATATTATTTAATAAAAAATAATATTAATTAATAATACTTAAAAAAATATCAATAAATAATAAAATATTATATGAGATTATTTATTAATATTATATTTAACTATTCGCATTTTTTAAAAAAATATAAATTTTTTATAATCCATAGATATTTATATTTATTGAATATTTTATATTTTTAATATTCGTCTGCTTATTCTTTGAAGAAGATTTTTATTATTCTTTATATATTCTTATTCTTTTGTCACAACAAAAATGGATAAAATCGAATATAACGTT